CCCCCCGGGGGGGGGGGGGGGGGGGGGGAGCACCTCCCGGAAATTAGAAGGACACCTCCCTGAAAGTGCTTCTTTCAGGTTGGGATCCCTGCTATAGAAGGCCTGGCTTTACCGATCATTGAGCATAGGTATAGCAAAGTCACTCCATCAAATCCTACAGGTAAGTACTGGTACCTCGCCATAGGTTTCTATGATTGTGTATTGCATTGTGGGGTGTAACATCTCCTGCAAACCTGGAAATGGGATCTCTGGGTCTTGGCAGAAGCACTTTGAAGTTACTGACCAGGGACTGCCGACAGAAGATGGTGCCTCCTAACAAGTTATAAGGTCATTTGCATATCTGTTTTTCTGGAGACAGCTTTGCTTTTACTATTTGCTTCAAATGCAACAGTTAAATTGCAGTGAATAAAAGATCTGTGTCAATGCCAGTCCAGCTATTTGCAGCTATGTCATTGAGCGATTGCTTTTTTCCACTGCTTGAAGCTAGTATTTTAGTCAGCTATATCAGCTACAAATTACCAGAGATAATAAGCAGAGAGATCTGTGGCTGCTACAGATCTCTGCTACAAAGTTTTCTGGTGTTGCATGCCCCTTTCGTTTTAGGAGAGCTTCTCTTCACCGGATGGGAATATAATTTCTCTGACATGTTTTTATATGTTAATTTTCTTGTTAGATCATGAATTTATATATAAACACCAGCCCAATAAATTGCTAGAAGTATTTCATTCTTGCTTTATGTAATACTAACTGAAATGCTGTCCCAGATTTTACTAATATTATTTAATATGTCCCCTTACTCCACAATCAAAGATCTTTGTAATCTTATACTATTCCACAAATAGGTGTCTTTTTTTCACTTTGTCTTATTGCTTTAAAATTAAACCATATTGTGATGTGAGAGGCTGCAAGGTGTTGCTGGAGTTTTCAATGGACTGTCCAGCACCCCTTAAAATACAGTAGATGTCATTTTAGCTATAGTTTGTGACTTGTGATTCCTCTCAGTGATTGTTACACACCTTCCCTAATATGTTTTGCGACTTTTTTTAACATCTTTTACTTTTATTTATATTCTGTAGCGCTTTACAGAAAGATGTTGGTGAGTCTACACCAGGGGTGCCCACTATTTTTCATTCGGAGATCTACTTTTCAAATGACAAGCTCAATGAGATCTACCAATGAAAAAACACCTGCATTCAGGGGGATAGAGCATGGCGGTGCAATGAAGTCAATGGCACTGCAGCCACGCCCCTCACCCGCAGTGCGATTGCCCACACCCGGAACGCAGGCACATTAGTGCCTGTGTTCCGGCCCAGTGCGATCTGCAAAAATGCTGCAGATTGCACTGGACCGGAATGCAGGCAGGCGATCGCACTGTGGGCGGGGGGGCATGGCTGCGGTGCCATTGACTTCAATACAACCCCACGCCCCCTCCTGCCTCTGAACGCAGTGAGTCGGCCAGTTTGCATTCCAGTGCGTTCTAGAGGCGTCTTGTCCTCCCGCTGTGCTTGTGTGGCCGACGTTGCACACGGGGAGAGGTGTCCTGTCCCTTTCCGCCTGCGGCGTCTAACACATTCAACCGGCAGCCACACGAGCACCGCGGGAGCATAGCCGTTTGCGCCCGAGGCAAGGAAAAAAAACGTGTCCCACCCCCAACAGGCGTGTGATGTCACCCAGTGCCCTGCCTCCAGGATTTTTTATTTTATTTATTTTTTATTTAATTAAAAAAATATTTAAATTAAAATGTATTCA